CAGGTAAGGAAAAAGAAATCACTCCTCTGAATAAAACTCTTTGACTAATAATATCCCCAGTACAACTTGGTATAACAGTTTATATTATTATTATTATTAAATATGTGAGTATATCTTTATGATTGTGGACATGTTTATACCTTCAGCTCAGCAACCTGAGATGAGATGTGCCACATCAGGCTCTCACTAAGAAACTTCATACCATACGGGCCCAAGAGCTCTGACAGGGAACGCATCTCTGCGGAAAAAGCAAAAAATAAACACTTTCAATAAACTTTCAGCAGAAAAAAAAAGACGAGGAACAGAAAAAAAACAAGATGGATAAACTCTAAACTTATATTAATACACAAACCCCACATTAAGGTTTCTCCTCTATAGCTGATTTATTGTTTGTCGTCATAAATACCAAGTTACTAACATTTTCATGCACAAAGTGTGTTTGTATGCGTAAACAATCTTTTGAGTGATTGTACCAGAGATATCAGAGTATTCTTCAGCATTGAAAGTTAGTTCGTTCTCAGTGGGCAGGTTGACGAAAGCCTTCATGGCGGGGAAGTAGGCGATGTGTCCGTTACTGACCTGGCGGAGCAACGTTTCCAAGTACCTACAAACACACACAGGATGCCGTCTCAGTATAGGTTACATGCTTGGTCCTCAAAAGAAAAACAAGCTGAGCTCCATTAAGGTCTGTCGGGTATAATAAATAAGTAAAACTGTAGCCAATGAGTTTGCAAACCATTAAATTTGTATTTGGTTTTCTGCTTGTTTTGGGGTCAGGATTTTCCCCTCCACTGGTGTGGATGTGCTTATTTGGTCCTCCAGTCAAATAGTGCATCTTCCTAAATGTTATAATAAATTAAATGTTAAACTAACTAAACTAACTTTTCAGAAGAAAGTTGGAGTTAAGGTAGGGTGCACTCAAAACTGTTTGTTTCATTCAGAAGGTAAACAGAGAGGCTGAATTAAGGCCCCGAAAAAAGCTACAGTAGTAGAGCCCAAGAATAAAAATATGGAGCTGGATGTGAGGAGAATAGAAATTGCTCTGATTAAAAAAACAACAAACAAACAATCATCTGAAACTACTGAGAAAAGTCTAGTCAGTAATTCGCGTTGTTTGTTGTTTATTTCCTCCTCAAATTACACCTCTGCTTCCTTTGCTGTATCATTTTTTGGTATTTTATTAACAATGTTTTTGGAGAAGTGCTAAAAATCAACGCACCAGTTTGTGTATAAACTGGTGATGGTGGGCTCTCCGTGGCTGTCCAGGTGCTGCGTCTGCTGCAGGAGGACGTTGTTGAAAACTCGTGTGATGTCGATGGTGACGTAGTTCTCTATGGACTGCAGCACGGTCATGTATGCTCGGACGCTCGTCAGCAGCTCGCTGGGCTTGGCTATCTCCTGAGTAGCCTGGTTGTACATGGTCATCCCCACTATGGACCTGGACACGATCAGAGGTCAATAAGACATGCCTAAGTTAAAGTACATTTAGTAAGAGCACTTTTAAACCTCAAAGTTGCACAACTTACTTTAATTACCTTAATTTTAACGATCATAAAGCTGCAATCCCTTAACTTTTCATTCTGAAACACCAAAGCTGTTTACACCTAAACTGCTCAATTAATCTGCTTTTAAATAACTGCTCTGGACTGTGCACTGCTTAATAACTACTGTCATGTCATGATGAGGTAGTAATTTGTACTTTTTCCTATTCACCGAAAGCGGTACGTGTAGTATTTAATTAACACAGAGGTGGTGAAGAGCAGCGTTAGCTGGGCTGCGAGGTCGACAGATGCAACTCTAAATTGGACAAAATGTATCTGTAATTATACAGCTTCACTATGAAAGCATGCGTGCGTGCTTATTTACTTGGTAAATCGGATCTCCAGGTGCGAGGTGAGGTACTCCCTCGGCGTGAAAGTGTGCTCCCACACAATCAGGTTGGGAACGTAGTTGATGGAGAAGCAGAGTTCAGATAAGGCGGTGTGGAGTTTATCCAGACTGGGGGGGCGGGAGGAGACACATAAACAACAGATATGATTAAAACCTGATCTGTGCAGAGAAAACAAGCAACAATACCAATAAAACCAATAAAAGAGAGCAAAACTATGAGACTTAAAATGAAGGCAGTATAGATATACGTAGGTGAAAATATAAAAACTTAATTGGAAAGCACTGACACGTCTGGGAAACGGTGATAAAAACACGGTGGAGGGTTCAAAACAATACCAGCCAGATTTGATGTGTTAAAAAATAATATTTCAACTATTTATAGGAGAAAGAAACAGCTAAATATGACCATTTTCATTTTTACTGCATGAGCAAAGATGAATACTTATTAATCTATAAACAATTACAGATCACTATAATTAAAACACACTCAACAGTAATGAGTTTTTAAAAGAAGCATGAAGAATAAGCTGAGCCTGAAAACAGACAGAGGCAGACTGTGGCTCTGCAGATCCTTCAAAAACATTCAGATCTTCACGTTCCCTCTTTTTCTACTAACTTGGTGACCAGCAGTCTGTTCTTCCTCATGCTCTCCACGCCTGGTTTCTCCCTCTCCGGCTCGCCTTTCTTCCCCGTCGCCTTCTTGCTCTTCTTGTTCACAGCTTGGCTGATGGTTTTTGCGCAGTGCTTGGGAAGCAGCTAAGGTAAAAATAAAAAGGTACAACATTTCACTACAATTATTAAGCCACTGACATTTGGTTTTAAAGTGCTCTTCAGATTTACATGAGACCTTTTGACTTGTTTAAAGAATCGTTATTGTTTTATATTATGATTTTTACAATTTATTAAAAACTTTACTTATTAAGCTCCTTTTT